AACAGATAAAAAAATTTCGCCCCAATCACCCTACCACCCACATAGACCAAGCTGATTTTAAAATTGATTTGGAGTACCTCACAAGGTAACCTTAATATCCCCAACCCTGGGCGCTACACATTACCGTTAGACGAATATACCATCACACACAATATATCAGTCCTCCACACACGTCCGAGTCGGACTAATCTACAAAAGAAAACATCCCCATCCTACTTACGTACAATACACATGCCCAACAACACCTTTATCGCAGCATACTAACTAGAATTACAAAAAGCAACCCAAGTCAGAATAACACACACAAACAATATCACCGCACCCACCAATGAGACAACATAAAAGAGCAGCGTCTTCCAGTTTTTTCCCATGTAGTTGGGCAGTTTGATTGAGTTTCTTATCCTGAGTTCTAGTTTGATTGCACTGTGGGTCTGGAGAGACCCAGTGGGGAAAGGATTCTCCTATTTAATAAAATGGTGCATGGGAAAATTGGCTAGCCCAATAGAGTAGACAAGCTGAAACTGGATCTTTTCCCTTACTCCTTAATTGAACTAATCTTCCAAACGAAATGAAGAAAAAAAAAAAGACGACTCCAAAAAATGAAATAAGACAAAACCTAAATAACCAACCAAAACAAAACAACCTTATAAGAAGGAAAACCTTAGGTAAAAACCTATAAAGCCATATTTCAGGAAACCAAATAAAAGAGGCGACCCAATTGATGGAAGACAAGAAGGACACATTCCATTCTAAAGAATAAAAAACTAAACAACAAAACAACAAAAAAATTAGGGCAAACCAATAGAGAAGCCCTACAAAAAAAAGCGAACCAAAAATACAAAGAACAAAATCAGTGCGGAAAATCTGAAACTAAGTATATAGAACCCCACATAACACAAACTTCACAAAAACACTAAAAAGACAAAAGAACCACTAACCACAATCAACACACGATGGAAGCATCAGAACAAAGTAAAATAAAAACCCTACCAGATCCCAAACATGTAGAAGTGAAAAAATAAAAACAGCCAAATATCTTCTATAACGAGAACTCATGCACGGAACACAAAATAAGGGTCACAATCACCCAAATTCAACCAAAATCACCAAGTACTCAAAGGAAAACTCAAAAACACAAACTTTACAGGGAAAAAAAACAAACGTACAAAACACGACCCACATCAAAACAAGAGGAAAAGACTACTGAACAAAAAAACCCATCAATCACAGTCAAAAAAAGAAGAACACAATATATCCAATTACCAGCCACCCGCCCAAGTACCACAAAAAAAAAAAAACCCATACCAAAATACACCACACCAGCAACATAAAAAACTGACCCATCGCAACTACAAAATCAAACCCCACAGAAACACAAACAAAATACACAATAAACACAAAGCACTAAAATGGGACAATACAAACAGACAAAGCGAAAACATACAAAAAAACCACCCTCACCCAAAAACAAACCACAAGAAAACAAACCAACAACAAACAAATGACACGCAACTACCCAATTAACTCACCAACCTACAAGTTCCCTCCTAAAAGGAAAGACAACATCACTTCCTACCAAGCTCCCACCCAGACCTGGACGGGCTGGACGGAGGATGTCGCAGCTAGAAACGGCACATACAACACAGTACTCCATCAACACTCTCAAAACCTTCCTGCGAACCAACACCACCCACCACTCATTTCAAACCATTTAAATGATGAAACCACCATACATTTCCGGCGCCCATTCCCTCCCCCAATCCCAATATCAAAAGAACAATACCTATAAGCCCAACAAGACTACAAACACTACAATCCCAAAAATAACTAAGAACAACCGGAGGATAACACCACCCAAAAGGACATTAAAAAATTCTGCTCTTAAACCATCAAAGACCCCTGCAAAACACAAAAAAGACAACAAAAGTCCAAAACGAAAACAAGACACCCACTCGTATGTGAACAAATTAAGCGGCACATCTAAATTCTTCATGAATTAAGCACAAGAAATAATGGAGGGAATAATCCAACAAGTTCAGCTACCAGCATATACCGCCCCACAGATTCGACCAAGATGAACCGGCCATGGACCCAACCAACGCCAGTCAATTTCAAATGTGGCCACCCTATCCAGAGACACCACCCAATAGCCAATACTATGCGGCCAGCCCAATCAACCCATTTAAAAAGGATGAATTTGTGTCTTTTGTAGGGCAATGTTGCCAGCTGGGGACCCTCATTCCTTCAGCAAACTATCGCAAGGACAGAAAAACACGCATTTTCTTCACTCATGGGTGGGGGAATGGAAATGAGAAATTCCACTTGGACTCGGGAAGGGAAACCATCCACACACAGGGGGCCCTATTATGGGGAGGAGGGAGAGGGAGAGGAATTGCCTTGGGGAGTTTTATACCTGTGTAAATGAATGAGGTTTGGAATTGGTCTTGGAACGAGTTGGATGGGTGGGCAGCCCCACAGCACATGGGCACAAGTTATACATATGTAACAAACCTGCCACGTTATGCACAGTACCCACTGAAATTAAAGGTATAATAATAATTTTAAAAAGTGAATT